AATGGAAGAAGAAGAAGAAAAGGCGGTCAACTGTTCAAATGAAAGGCAAATAATAGGCTAAAACTACCCATGTCTCAGAACCTTTGTTTCTACTCTTAAATGAACTTTAATAGATTTTATTCTTAAGTTTGCAAGTAGGGGTAAAAGTAAAGACTGGTCTCCTTAAAAGACCAGGAAAACCCCCAACTGAAGATAAATGTACCTTTTAAATAGATTTTACCTTCTTATTTTCATTCATAAAAGATTCAGTAAAAGCTCATCGACTAATTAAGTAGAAGAGCAGCATCCCTTTTGTGAGGAATGTGTGATGGTGGCTAAGGGGCAAGACTATGGAGTGACCTTCTCCATATGGGGTGGAGATCAGGTACGGGTCATTCAGAAAACACTTCTTTGACAGCAGAGCTGCTTGTACTTTGGTCTAAGTTGTAAAGTATCCCCTAGAGCCCTTCACAGTGTGAGTCTGCCAGTTTCAGTATTGGTCAGGGGTCAAAGAGCAGGGTTCTACAGAAGGATCTGCTTGTCACACTGATCCATAGACATCCTGCAAGCATAAACATGCCTGGCTCAGTGCTGTGTTTTATGGTACAATGACACTGTCATGACATAGGATCACAAATCTGGCCGGACTTTTGACCAGCCTTTAAATACTAAGATTGTTCTCATGCTAATACATGGCTATATGGTGGTCATCACAAACTGTTAGAGCAGTAGTTCGACATTTTGGGAAATTAATTTATTCGCTTTCTTGCCAAGATGAGATGAGAAGGTCATCTGTAAGGTATATATGAAGCCACGGCCAGTAGCCTGTTAGTTTAGCTTAACACAAAGACTGTAAACAGGGGGAAACAACTGGCTTGGCTCTGTCCAAAGGCAGCACAATATGCCAACCAGCACCTGTAAAGCTCAGTATTGGCCACATCATCATTAGTATAAAAACAAACTTCAGAAAGTTATGGATTAAACAAGATATAATATTTATTTGATTAGTGAGCTTTAGCTGTGCTGGCAGGTGGATTTGTTTACCTTTAGACATAGTCAGCGTAGCTGTTTTCCTGTTTCCAGTCTCTAAGCTATGAATTATGTTATATTTATCGTACAGAGATGGGAATAGGATCGATCTTCTCATCTAACGCTCAAAGTACATTTTCCAAAATGACAAATAATTGCTTTGAATGACTTATAAATGGCTGTTCAACTAACATGAAGTATTTCTATCATGTAGCCTATTAATTACATTCAATAGTACAATACAGGAAAATACAAATAACCTTGTACCCTCTACACATATTTCTACACTGCTATGTACAGTGCACACGTCTCTAATATGTGTATATCTGGATATCCCAAAGTCTGGTACAGTCATCTACGTGTCCCACAGCTGCTCTGAAACCCCATACTGAGTCAATTAGACCTGTACAATAGGAACATCAATTACGCCAAGCAGGCACAATCTATATGACTCTGGAGCTCTAATGAGATTAATTCCTCTTGGATGGGATGAATTCTTTCCCAAATGTCAATGTAGAAGGAGTGATTGAAGTTAACAAGCTCATTAGTGAACATCAAGACAATATTCAAAGCTGTATAGATGACTCTCAGCTGGCAGCCAAGGGGCTGTGGAAGATAGACTAGTTGTCCTAACAGTGAAGCCCTGTGCCTTGTACTAAATAATCCTTAAGTTAACACCAGATAACACCATTTTTGTAAAGGTGTGACAATTGTCTATCTTGACAATGTCCAAACAAATTAAGTTATACTGTAAAATAATTTTTTCCTTTAAAGGATATGGCTGGCATTATTCAACATTTTTCATACCGTTATCAAATACCATTAGAAGACCAAACCAACACTACACAAGTCTGACTCATAACACTCCCCAACTCCCTCAGCCTGTCTATGGCACTTAGCCCCAAACCCATGTGTTCATACTGAAGACATAAATCTTTAAATATCTAGTTTTTAGCAAATCTTCCTCAAAAATGAGTAAATAGTGCATTTGTTGTGGACTATATTCACCTGCTTATTTATACAAATTTGGGTCCCAAGCAAGTATTGATTCAAAATAGACTACAGTGCCCATTTTTATGGCAATCAAGAAACATTTCACCCAGTTCAACAGTGTGGCTCATTAATGTGTTTTTTATAGATTTTTGTCAACAATGGAACTCAACAGTACAACAGACTTTGACTAGATAGACAGTACTTAGAAGGATCACATTATGGTTGGTGTTGGTATTTGTTGACAACAAGAAAACTATAGAATTTCACCAGACCTATCATTTAATGTATTCTTTTCAGATTTTTCCAATCGGATCCCAAGATCCTGTATGGAGCTGTGTAGTCTGTCTACATACAAATGGGACTATGGGAAACAGGAAATGGGTTTGGTTTACATTATGGCAGTCCTAATGGCTTTGATGCTCCTCACACTGAGAGATGAGTCTTCAGGAACTTTCAATTTATTGATTCCTCAAACATTTCCACTGGAGTTTGGCCTTCTTCAGAACCTGAACAACACACTGTGTAATTGTTCAGTAATCGAGCCCTTCTTCGTGAAAAAAGGAAGAACAAGGGTATAGGGTGTAAGGGGGGGGGGGGGGGACGAAGGGTTAGTAGGCAACAGATGGACCACTACGTCGGACAAGCTGTGTCTCATTTCCACACAGAGTTGTAATAAGAACCTGCTGGGGTGGCTGTAAGCACAGGCCTAGGATCAGCTTACCTCTATCCCGAGCCTCTGACCTTAACTGTCTGTGAAACCGTATTGTTAATGGAGGCTACATGTTATCTGTGTTTGGTGAACTAAAGCAATATGCCTGGTAAGGTTTGATCACATACTAATTTCAGTCCAATTATCCCCTTACGGATCCTTTCTATGATTTATAGCCTTTTTTTCTTGTCATTTTAAAAGAGGAGCTACATTTAGTTGCCCCAGAAAGGTTAGCATGTGACCTGCCACACCACGGGTACAGTTTGGCCAGCTGACCTACTGCCCAGCTAAAGAGAGTCTAGTTGCAGGTTAATAGGGGGCTCTAGCGCTTACATGGCTGTCTAAGTGTTTCTATAGAGACCTGAATAGAATTAAAACACTTTGAATGAAATGGGGATAAGTGGGGCAGAGTTGCCCTTAAAAGCAAGTTAAACCTTTGACATAGAATGAAAAACAAGTTAGGTCCCTGCTCCAGTGCTCACTCTTAACGTTGTATTTCTACTGTTTACCTCGCAATTGTTATCAGTGACAGATAATAAGTTGTCTCAGAGTTTATAAACCGCTGTGCAGTGTTTTGGCATCTGATAATCCTTCAAACTGATGGATCTGTTACTCAAGCAACTTCCTGGATCGTATTTCATTTCTCCCTGGTACCTGAAGCAACACACCCCCATCAACTCAGCTCTGTGCAGTATTTTAAAGTAGGCCTGTTTTTGCTCTGAATTCCAGCTTAATCCTCATTGGCTTGAAAGACATTTTTGTTCTTTAAAGCAGCTATAACCAGTATTTATATAACAACACAGGATTAAAGGACTGTGTGTAATGTGAAAGGTGTCACGTGTAGTGATGAGCCCACAAAGAATAATCAGCCTACTCTTCAGTTCCCCTCAGCTTTTTAGCATCTTTCAGCTCATTGTCTTGGTTTTCCAGCCCGCAACTCCACTGTGTTGGTTCACTCTCCTATTTTTCAGCAAAAAGGCTCTAAAAACCCACAGTACACTACCTGCTCAGCACCAAACGGTAGACAGACACAGTTAGTGACTGGCTGGTGAACAGAGTAGAACATTTAGCAACTGAAGAATTAGATATTTCCCACAGTAGTGGGACCAAAAACAGAGCTAAAGGATATTGGACTTACATTCATTCAGTGGCCAGAAACACGGCTCCAAATAAATGATAATGTTTCCTTATATCTGCTGTGTAAATAAGCAACTGTTTGCTCACATATTAATTTAAACAGTAATGTCTGTGTTGTGTTACAGTTTGTTTGCTTTGCCCGTCAGTTGTCAGTTCAGTTTAATTGAAACCACTTTCTCTTCAAGAAACAGTCCCTATGAAAAGCATTCATAGGAGGTTTTGTGGATTTCCAAAGACTAACAATGACACTGTTTCTAGACAGAGATGTTGCCGTTGAATTTACTAAATGTAATTCTTTAAAGTTTTGAGCACCACATATTAAATTCCATTCACCTCCAACTTAACCTTGTAATGTGGTCTTGAAGAAAATATACAGTATATCTCATAACCTATGCAAATACAACCATATCTGTCTGCATGTCTAGATAGAACTACAGGTAAAGAAAAATGATTCAGAGTCATACCAGAACCAAGTATCGCTGTCACCCATTAGTCAGCAGTTACAACACATACAATTAGTTTCTAGAAGTGAGCAATATACATGTACTTTGAATATCACTGGTCATTAATATAGATTCATGAGTCAGAAAGGAGGCATCTTTCTTCAAGAGTTGAACACTTACTGTAAATTCAGTAGCAAAACAATTTAACACCTAATTTAAGGGTGCAGCATTTGGTTCATAAAACATTATTCATACATGCCAGATTTACCAAATCACAAAAAACATGTGAAGTGGTACTTATTGCCAAAATATCGTCTTTGTTCAGTTATGAAAAAAGAATTGGCACACGTAGAGCTATAAACTTTAATGGTAGGTTTAATTGTGATGTGAATAAACTACAACTGTGTTTTCAATTCAAATTCTTTTTCCTACTTAAAACAAATGACTCATAACCTTTTTGAACAACTGAAGGAGATGCTGAGTGGGGAAGGAGGTTCTGAGAGACTGAATTGTGACAGTACAGGAATCCACATGATACTTTACACACTAGAGTTTTAAAATAGATTAATACTCATTAGTTCTTTGCTTCTGGATTAAAAAAAAACAAACATGTTGATGTTGGATTTTCAGCACCACAGATTAAATTAAATTTACCTCCATTGTACCGGGGTGGCAGCAGAAGTCTCAAATATCTCTAAAACTGGGTAAGTAAAACCACAAATATCTGAATATCTACTGTAGAAACCACAAAGGGAAAGTGGGAAAATATGTTTCTGCAATTTGGGCAAATTTACCCATTTAGCTAGAAATTCCACAAACATCACATTCAGGATTTAAGTGTTCACTCATTTCAGCTTCTTCTGAAGGGAGCAAGAGGAAGGTCAAGTCTGAGAAGAACCACACTGCTGTCTGCAGACCAGACTGTGGCTGAAGGGGGTCTGAGAGCGGATAGGAGCCAGAACTGCAGAGCAGAAGGAGGCAGATTTGGTTTCACCCCTGGGTGTGCTGTGTGGAGGTCTGCTTCTCACACCAGGGCAAACAATATTTCACCATGTGGTATGAACATGCAGACCTGCCCAGAGGATTTCACCACTAAACTCCTAATGATGGAAAATTAACGCTCCAGTGAACTGAGCTAAATGCCCCTACTGACAACATTTCCAAACTATTTACAGCATGGGTCTAAAAACAGCAAGTGAAGGGATCACTCAGGATGTATTTCTGTTGGTTTGGACATAATGAGGAAAACCTGTCAGACGCGTTTTGTTATTATTTCCATGAAGGGCAGGAGATGAAATAGAGAGGGAAATTGTTAAGAAAACGACTGGTGATAAAATACCGTGAGCTATAATTAGAAATCAAAAATGCCTGTCAGACCCAGAGCAGCAACAAGTGGGATTTGAGATTGGAGACAAATTTCTACACAGCGTTCACCTGATATGAGGAAACCAAGTACTGAATGGAGAGGGGGTCTTTACACACAATTTACAGACTCCTCCCAGACATGCCTGGAAGAAAACCTCTTGTCACAGTAGGAGCTGGCCACTGACAGAGCTTCCATCCACGCAGACTGATGTTCAACAAACCCTGATTCCGCAGGGTTTTTTACGCGCATTGAAAATGAGAGCCTTTGTTTCGACAGTGTTGTGGGTGATAACAATACCCTGCATGGAAGCCATCCACGGATTATACAATTTTGGCCAGCATGACTTATACTACAAAAAAAATAACTGCAAGCCAATTCCCGAAAAGTTCCTCCTGTGCCATGATATAGAGTACACAGAGATGCGCCTCCCAAACCTGCTGGGCCACGAAACCATGAATGAAGTCCTGCAGCAAGCTTCTTCCTGGATCCCTCTGGTTCAGAAGCAATGTCATCCCGACACACGAAAGTTCCTCTGCTCCCTTTTCGCTCCCGTCTGTCTGGACGATTTGGACGAGCCCATACAGCCGTGCAGGTCTCTGTGCGAGAGCGTCAAGAACGGCTGCGAGCCCGTGATGTCCGCGTTTGGCTTTCCTTGGCCAAAGATGCTGGACTGCGACCATTTCCCAATCGACAACGACCTGTGTATTCCACCTGCCGGCCTCGAGAACTCTGCACCAGTGACCAAAGAGGGTAAGGTTTCTGTATTTTACAAGCAAATCTACTATTTCCAAGTATTAATAAATAATTAATATTAAACGAACTTTTTCTGCTTCGTGCGAATGCGTGTGTGAACAGCACGATTTTCTGTCAATAGGCCATACCCGTCTGTACATTTATTGCACAAGAATCCAAATTCATATCTGGTTATGTGTGTCCTAGTTGTTTTGCACGGTAACAGATTATTGAACATGAGCTATTTCTCTTTTCTGTTTTAGTGCCCAGAGTGTGCGATGCTTGCAAGGAAAGTGATGAAAATGACAACGAAATTGTTGACAACCTGTGTAAGAATGACTTTGGTAAGTCCATCCATCTATTTTATTAGTTCCCAAAGTGAAGCTCAGGAGCCACAAGAGGTCACGACGGGAGGTTCTGAAAGATTTTAGGCCACATGAGGAGTTATTGTTAGCCTTCACTTTTATCTCTCCTACTGTATGCATTTTAACCCTAAACCATATGCACAGGCCTTAAGATGCTTTCATATCAAAAGGATGATCTTTGTGCAGTTTTATTGTGAAAAACAGTGCCAGTCTCTGTTCCTCTCTTTTCTCTCCTGCTTGATGCAAAGCTCTAAAGATCAAAGTTAAGGAGATCTCCTACATCAACGGTGACACCAAGATAGTGCCGGATACCAAGAGCAAAACCATTTACAAGCTGAACGGCGTGACGGAGCGTGAACTGAGGAAGACGGTGCTGTGGTTGAAGGACGGCCTGCAGTGCATCTGCGAGGAGATGAACGACATCAACGCTGCCTACCTGGTCATGGGCCAGAAGATGGACGGCCACCTGGTCATCACCTCGCTGAAGCGCTGGCATAAGGGACAGCGCGAGTTTAAGAGGATTTCGCGCAGCATCCGCAAGCTGCAGTGCTAGGAAGGGGGACACACTGCAGGTGTCACTGTTGAAGAAAACGTTTAGCTGAGCTCTTTCCAATTACTAGGCCTTTCCAGTTGTCACACAAATTGCAATTATGGTTCATAGATTCCTCTTTGGATTCCAGCAAATATTTGGCCAGGTACTGTGTTTTCCATTGCTTTCAGTTAAAAATGCCCAATATCTTGAAAAAGGCAGTAGGCTATTTAGCATATTTGGGTCTGGACAAAAACTTGCTTTGAATTGACTCCATAACTGTAATTCATATGGATGTTCTGAAAGGTGCTATGTCCCAGTACACTTAAACTACATTCATTAATAAGGCCACACTATTTTCAAAGGGGATTTGCAAGTGGCTATACTACATAAACTGCCCATGTCTTCTGAGCAGGGCACACATTTATATCTGGTATAGACTTGGAAGTAAGCAAATATAGGAGTAAAAAAAAAAGGCACTTCAATTGTGGTAATCTGAGAAATTCATCCATCCACTCCCAGTCATTTTGCACTTGGCGCCCCCTAGTAGCCAGTTTTAAAGTGGTGTGTCTTTTCATGGGGAGCTGTCTTTGATGTTGCCTCCTTAAGATGGTGTCCCAGGTGTGAAAGAGTCACTAACTACGTGGTTAAAGTGAAAACTAGCAGAACTGTGAATCCAGGATTAAAAATAATTTGACTCTAAAATAACATTGGCAGATGTGGTCAACTGTTAAATCCTGCAATGAGCGTGAGTTTAAGACATGTTCCTTCTTTCCTGGTATTCCCTGTGATCAGTTTCATCATAACACAAAGCATTTTTTTTCATGGGGCCTGTTGTAAAATGATACATAAATCTTCCAAAACTCCTATAAGGAATAAATTACAACACACAGTCAAAGGCCTTGTCAAATTGAGAGAGGATGATGGGATGATTATAAAATACTCGAGTTAATTTTAAAAAAAACTGTGTGTATGTTTGAGGGGGTGTAGTTAAGACTTCCAAAAGAAGGAATTTGCATCCAATAAAAAACATTCTGTTATTGCTCCACAGAAGCAATTACTAAAATGTATTGTTATTGCATGGTGCATATTGAGTGAAGCTGTGATCCCCATATGGGTAGTGTGATGTTCAAAGACAAAATAATGTCTGTTTTTTGTATTCCCACCGTTTTCTCTAGCAAAAATGAGAGATAGCTGGCTATATTCTCTTCCTGTTTAACATTTTAATATTCACGGTAATCTTTTTGTGTTTGAGCCGTTCCATAATTTTCTACCACAGTAAGATTAAAAATGAATATTTTTCTACTCCAGACTTTAACATTTCATTTAAACTTCCATGTTAAGTTTTGGGTTGCGTCTACATCCTTTTGTTTGATCAGTGAGAGTCAGAGTTTTCTGTATTAGTGATGACTATCTGAGTTTTGGTTGGCAGCGTTGATTTCATGAGCAGTAACTTTTTAAGCGCAAATACTCATGGGCCTGTGTGTGCGCAATGTAAAAAGTATTTTTTGAAAGTACTGTGTAAATATCAAATACTGTATTTTATTCTTGTAAAGTTTCTGGTGATTAAAAGCTACCAACAACATGTTTTGAAATTACTTTCATTGGTGTGTGTGTGTGTGTGTGTGTGTTGGGGGGATGGAGGGCAGGAAATACTCATGTAAAAGAGGAATTTAAAAAAGAATCCTAATGATCAGTTCTAAGATGGAAAATCAACTTACATTATGTATTTTTAATTGAACACCCCCATCTAGTGGAATTCAATGGTAAAATCTGGTCATGGGTAACAACTTGATGCATAGGAGGCATTTAGTGTGTCTAGTTATATTCACAAAATGTATATACAATAAACATTGTTTGTCAGTGTTTTTGCAACACTTCAGATCTGTATTGACAGTTTTTGAGGCTATAATGCTAAATAAATATTGGCCTGTAAAGCTAGTATCAGATAAAAGACATGTACATCTTCAATGTTGAATACTTGAAAGCACCAAACCAAGGCTGCAACTAATGATTTCATTTTATGAAAATGCTTTGCGGGCTTTTTGTCTATAAAATATCTGAAGATAATTCAAAATGACTGCTAGTTTCCCTGAAATAAAGGTTTTGTCTTCAAATTGATTGTCCAACACTCAAAAATATTCAAACTATACTGATATATAATTTGAATATTTTTTGAGTTTTTGACTGAGACATAGGCAACAAAGTCTCACATTTGGGAAATTAAATTCAGCAAATCTTGAGCATTTTTGCTTAATAGATGACTTGAAAGGGATTAACTTAAAATTTGATTCTGAAAAATGCTGCTGATTACATTTTTGATCAATCAGTTAATCAACTAATGTGTCAGTACTTACAGACCTATCCTTCAACTTATGTTGTTGTGAGGTAATACAGCTTTATTTTATTACCTGGAACTGTCCAACTAATGTTATACCAACAGGTAAACAAAGAAACTATCCACTGGACTACTGAAGTATGGATGTTTTGTCAGTCCTCCAAAAGGATTCATCAGTGGTGGAGACTCCCAGGTATGTTCACCTCTCTGGGTGGACCACACTGTGTCACATCAGCTGCTGAGTTATTGGGGTCACATGATCTAGGTGTGAACTCGTGAAATTAAATAACGAGTGTCAGGATTGCATTGTAGGATACAGTCTAAAATATCCAGGGTACCTGTCTTTTCCTGTGGATGGGACATCACAATCAGGAAACTCACTTGTGTCCTCCGAAAGAGAACAGTAACTGGTGGCTACCAGCTAAAAGATGAACTATTGAAATTACAATGCCACCCTAACCATACCTCTTCCAACATGGCTTTTACACACTTCACACCTTGATTCATGTAATGAGTCGCCTCCTCAGCCCTCATATGACATTATGGTGTGATTGACTGAGAAATACATGGGAGTCCCCACAGGCCAGTAGAACTGATTAGGGCTCTTCAATCAGTAACACAATGTAATGCTACACCTACAGTCTAGACAGTAGTTTCATTTTGACCAGATAATACTCCTTGTTCTTGTAGTCCAGGATCCAGCCCTGAAGGGCATGGAGGTTTGCTCATGTAGCTTACATAACAACAATAGGTTTTGTGTGAATTACTGTGCATCCTACAAGACTACTGTTAAGGGCTGTACATGTCTAAATATGTCCTTAATTCAAAGCCTAACTAAGGGTTGCACGTGCAAATCAGCTATAGATGCCTAAGATACACGGCTGTGGAATTCAACTAAGTAGGCTACTTCTACTGAAGGACTGTACCAATGTACAATTACAAACTACTTTTGAGCATTAATGATTAAACCACCAAACACTAAGTGGATAAAAGTAGCTCCACTTCGACCAGCTACAACATTTAATTGTTACCTATAACAAACTAATAGCTTTTTCTTTACTTAGTGATATTGTGAATACCAAACGTTTACTTGTAACAGAGTATGTTTACACTGTTGTAAACGTAACCTTAAGTATAGCACAGGAATACTTCTTCCATCACTATACTGTATTACACCTGTTGCATGTTTCCTGTGTAACACTTTTACAAACATGTAGCTTACTAATTGCAACATTAAGAATGAATAATTTGGTTGGTGTCTTTAGACCAAGTTATGTTACTTATCCTCCACGGTGAAATTGTCTTTTTAAAATTCATTTCATAACTGTATTTATATTCCCGAATTAATTCATTAGATTGTGGATTAGCCTGTCAATTTTAAATCCTCTATCTATATAGGCTATACATTACAATTACAAACACATGATAAAAATCGAGTATCATGGTGGCACTATGGACAATATTAATAATGTACATTTTGTCATATTCGGTAACAGAACAGAGTTCTATTTCCAAAATTTCCTAAAGCTGAAATACCCCAGGATTATTTAAACGCCATAAAACGTTCGGTCATACAGCGTGAATCAGTCCGTAATTGCTCAATGAAGGCTGCTTAACCAGAACAATTGAATGACATCATAATGAAGAGTCGCGCCATTCATGATGCCTTCATAGCTATGGGAAAATTAATACCTTTTGGGCGGGGATAAAAAAACCAACAGTAGGTTAACATAGTATAGGCTAACCTTAGGCTATGTGGGAAATTTGCTGACACTCCAACTGCACTAATGTGACGTTTAGGGGGTCGGATGCGTGGAAACCCTGTAAACTACGGGTGGGAAAATTAATGCTTTTCAATAAGTATTGTTTATTATTCCATGCAAACATTAGGTAATATGTTTGGGTTTATTTGAAGCTACTTTCTGTTGTAGCTTAGATCTTTTTGTTTGGTATGAAAACATGCTGTGATAAGAACGTTTTCACATCGAAGCTATGTGGCCCAGTACGCCCCAAAACATGTTTCAAAAACGACTGTCTTTCAGGCAGGAACATCTTTTGTTTGCTAATGCCAATCAAAAGCATTGGCACTTCTGGCTTCGAGATTCAAAGTCTACGACGGTCATGAAGGCAGCACTACAACTTCTTTTTCGGCTGTTAGGTAGTGGTAAATTTATTGAGCCTGTATTTAAAATTTGTGTGTCTGTTTTCCTTCCCATTTGTGCCAACATGCTATAAAAACCCTTTTTAACTCCCAGTGACGGTACACCGACGACGGTGAATCTTGAAGAGCAGGCAGGGTTCAGTTTGACAAAGCTCAAAAAAGTCCGCGGGGAAGTTCCCTAGGAAATCCCCCAAGACAGTTCGGGGATATTATTCTCGACAGTGATGCGCCAAAGCTCCGACACAACCGAGCTGCATTTGTAAAGACAGGGCTAGAAGCAGAGGCGTCAAATGCTGGATTATTAAAAGGATCCTTCTGTCAAATCTAAATTACAAAAACTGCAATGGATAACGCCAGTATAAACACGGATAATGACATGCTCAAAGTGCGGAGTTACAGTACGCTGAATTCTCTGTATCACGAGACGCGGCAGGAAATCGACCTTCTGAACAAACAGATTTATGTAAAGGACAATATCATTTCAGATTTAAAAGCGAGGCTGGGGAGATATGAGAGGATCTACATGACTGTGGGAGACAACGAGTCTGTGGTCATCGGGCCGTCCAAGTCTTTGTTGGAGAGCTTGTGTAAAGAAATATGCAAACTGAAACAGAAGAGGAACGATATGGAATTTAAGGCATCTCGACAAGCAGAGGTAAAATATGTTGATAATGCTTATAATGTGTGTGTATGATGTTTGTAGACAATGGACCGACCCTAAAATTAGCTGATGGAGAAAAGTTGTTACAGTGGCACAGGTCTGTCCCATGTGGGTATAACGTTACTCCCACAAGTCTCTTGGCAAGAACTAATGAGGTTTAAAAACCCTCAAAACTATGCTACAATATTCAACTTTTTTTCCCTTACTGAACTGAATGTATTTATTATAAATTCTTTACTGAATAGAACATCTTCAGAGATACATATGACTGAAAGAAAATCCAATACAGAACAAATGTTAGCAGCAATAATTAGAATGATAAATTATTATAATTGTGGATATATATTTATGTAGTCTATCTTTAATGCATTAATGCACCAAAAGATTTACACTTCACAAACAAAGGTGTTCAAGCAATTCTTCTCCCGTCTTCCTCATCAGGAGATCCAGAGGCTGAATGTGCAGCTCAGAGAGAAGGAGCTGGAGCTGGAGAGTGTCAGGTGTCAGCCGGACCACGAGAAGGACCAGGAGATCCAGAGGCTGCGGTCCGCCCTGGAGGAGAGGGAGCGGTCTGAGGCCACCCGAGCCATACTCTGCACGTCCCTGGCGGAGGAGGCCGAACAGCTACGCAGCCAGCTTGGCGCAACGGTGAAGGTGTGCCAGGAGCTGCTGGCCAGGATGGAGAAGGAGAAGAAGGGGGGAGAAGAAGTGGAGGTGGTGGTTCAGCAACAAAAGCCTAAGGAGGTGTGTGACACTTGGGCTGGGTTGGATTTGTTTTGGAATACTTTGGGCTTCATGGGGGTGCCTTTATTTACTTGCTCATTGGGCCTTTTTTAAATGCAGTAGTGGTACTGTTTATTTTTTATTTTTTTGGAAGGGCTCTGTTGTAACTTATCTGTCAACCTTTTCTACAGATAACAGAGTCCTCTGACATTAATGCCCAAATCAGTCAACTTCAGGAGGAGAATCAACAGCTAAAGCAGCGAGTGGCATATGTAAGTCTTATACAAGTTATGCTCAGTGACAATACTTTTTTACTCAGAAATCAACCGTGCATTAGAGAAGGTCTAACCTTTTTTTGTAATTGCGCCTTTTAGGTACAAGGTCTGAATTCTCAGTGGCAGAAGTATGACTCCAGCAGGGAGGACTATATCAGAGGCTTGTGCCAGAGGCTGAAGGAGACCACTGGGCAGGGCTTGATGCCTGGGCTGGGCTCTGCAAGCACTGGGTTGCTTCATCATGAGATTTCCAGGCTCAATGGCTTACTGGAGGAGAAGATGAGCGAGTGTGAGCGGCTGGGTAGAGAAATGAATGAGCTAAGGAGGCAAGACCAGGAGTGTATCCAGACTCTGGGGCAACAGGTCGGTGCTACATTGTGGTCTCAGTATATATCTGTATAATTTGACCGTATACAGCTGTTGTGG